CTAAGTTAACATTGCAGTTTTGTTGGTAATACTTTGCATAACAGATAAAAAGAATTGAAGAATAACATTTCAAAATAAAACAAATATTAAATGCCTGTCATTAGAAATCTGTAGGAATTTTTATAAATTTGATTTGCTAAAATTTCCTGTTTGATATATGCTATGACTCCTCCTTTCTTTTGTTGTGAAAGTGCTGTAAACATGTTTCCCAATTTAGGGCAATTTAGTAAATATTGATGTTGTTTTTTTATATGAAGTTCTTGTAGTATTATTCTATCTAAGTTCATCTTACTAAGTTTGTTTATTTTTTTTCCCTTTTTAATGGGGAGTTGAGACCATTAACATTTAGAGATATAGTTTCAACTCCTTTTTTTGCCTCTTTATCTATATTTGGATATTGTTATTGTCAGTCTAGACTCTTTAGTTTGTGATTCCTTTTCTCTTTCCATTAACAGTCTTGTCGGTCTAGCCTCTTTAATTTCTTTAAGTCTATTCTCATCATGTTTTCCATCATCTTTTCCATTATCTATATTCTCTCTATTCTCAACTTGCTTACCTTTAGATTGTGTTTCCTTTCCTTCAGTGGCTTGTGCTAATATCTCACCCTTCTCTTACCTCTCTTTCAACTAGGTCCTCCTCACTGCCAAAGTTTTGTCTATAAAATTCCTCTGCTTTATCTATTGAATCTAGTCGGAGCTTTTTCTCCTGCCACGCGACCAAAATCCCTTCTGGAGTCAGCCATCTAAAATTAATATTTTTTCTCGTCAATTTAGAAGTTATTTGTTGATAGGGCCTTCTCAAGTCTCTCACTCTTCTAGGAACTTGTTTAAGTACAATCAGTTGTCTGCCTCGATACTCCAATGAATCATCTCTAGCCCTAAATAGTATTTCATCTCTGATCAATTTCTTAACAAATCTGACGTGGACTTCTCTAGGGAGATTATGCCGTCTTGCATAATTCGTGTGAATTCTGTAGATCTCGTCTATCTCGTTAGCCATCTCTTCTCTACTGCTCCCCAAAGCCCCCGCTAGTATATCTGTCATTATTACTGGTAGGTCTTCACCTTTCATCTCACTGACATTTTGGAACCGTAAATAATGAGCAGCCTTCTCTAATTCCAGGGAAATGACTGTCGATTCCAATTCTCTGTTGGCCTGAACTAATCTCTCGTTCATTTCATCTACTCTCTGCTCTTCTTTTCCCATCCTTTCTTCCATTTCCGATAGCTTTTGTTCATTTTTCATAATCTGTTGTTGGAAGGACTCAGATTTCCCATCCATTGACTTTATTTTATCCTTGAGTTCCCCTGTGTCATTTCTTACTTCCCCTATTTCTTTTTTTAGATCTTCATGATTTTTACACATTAGATTAAAGGTAGGCAATATGATGTTTTGGGGCTGAATATTGCTGTGACTTTTGGCTTTATACTTTAGTGGTCTCATTGCCCTAATATCCATTTTTTTTATTCCTTTAATTTAAAAAAATAACAGGGCGTGACACGCTAAAAAGCATTACTTATCAGAATAATTCTGCTTCTCTCTGTATATCATTCATACTCTTCTGTGCATGTGATTAACCTTACCCAAATGAGATTGCTTATTCATGGACATACATATTGCTTTCAGATCTTTATTTCCGTCATACTCCCACAAATGGAACATGGTCTTTTTTATTTTTCCTTCAGACCTGAATAAAATTTTGTGACTAGATCAAATACATAAAACTGAATTGTTCTTTCAGTATATAGTAGTAAGGTGGGAGTAGCATAATTGCATGATATTAGGAAAGAACCAGAAACTTAGCACAACTTCCTTGTCATAGAGTGGACTCTGGCTAGATGAGTAATGTCTGAGAAAGTGCCTTTCTGCAGGCTGAATAGAAAATGGCTTCCTTAACTATCCTTTTCATGATAGATCAGATAAGAGAAACCCTGTTGTTAAACTCTTTTATTTTTTATAGATAGTTCAATTATGCTCATAAGTGATGATGGTTGTAAAGTGAGTCACCACATGACTGGACCTTTTTTTAACAATCTTTTTTGCAGTGTTGTTAAGCGAATTCAGCAGCTGTAAAGTGAACGCTGTGGTTGTTAAGCAAACACTACAGTTTTTAAGTGGGCCCACTGTTAACTAGGTCAGATTTTTCCAGAAACTGGAAGTAAACACTAGTTTCCAGAAAAACAGTCACAAATTGTCCTCATGTGACCATGGGGCACTGTGAATGACCATATATGCAGGCTGGTTGCCAAGCAGCCAAAATACTTGCACATGACTGGGAAGGGGGTGGTATCAGAACTCTGAAAGTGGGTTGTAAGCCTCTTGTAACTTCACATGATTACTAAGCGACTGGTTGTAAGTTGAAAGCTACTTGTATGTTCCTGCTGTTTAAAATTTAAGTTAATTTCTTAATTTCATCTTAAGTAATTTTATTGGCTGAATATTCAATTCAATATTTTTAAAAAGAATGTTTCTGGGATCATATATTTAAATAAGCAATATAAAGAACTCCTGCTTGAATAGGGGGAATATCTGGCATGTGGATGTGTGAAATCTTTGAATTTTTTCCTTATTCTGTTTTTCCCCCCAAAATATAGATTCCTTTGGGACACTAGTCCTTCCATCTGTAAGTACTCTTAAAATACTAGAAATATAAACCATATGTTTCCAGCATTACTTTTATTTGCTTTTTGATTTGGCTAACTTAGTTATATTTTATAGCTCCAAATTAGTAATCAGTGTGTAGGTGTTATTTTGTTTCTTTAGATTAATAATTAGTTTGAGTGCCAACTCAGAAGAATCTGGGATTTCAATTTGAATGTCTTAAATGCATACTTAAGTTATGGGCAAACACCAGTAGGTACTCAATGTAACAAAATTGTGTATTAATAAAAGATGAGAAATGCAAAAAATGCAAAAAAAATTAATTTGTACCTATATCCAAAACATTTTATTTCCTCATAGGAAATTCCTCATATTCTACATGCAAAGGCAAAATGTTACTGCTGAATTTGGGCAATTAGTTTAATTGTTTAGACTAATTGGGAAAAAAAGTATAATATGAATCTGATAAGTTAAATTGAGAGGAGGATTTTTTTTAAAAAAAAATACATTATGGTACAACACGCATGGCTTTTGAAATACTATAGACACTGAAAATGCTATCTAATATGCAAAGCAAGCTATGGGAAACCCTGATGGCTTGCCTTGGTCTGACCTGCAGGTCTGAAGGCAACAGCAGGGCCCAGTCAACCATGCTGCACAGTTGGTTGTCAGGCATCACCACAATCTGGGAGCCTTCCTAATTTCATGCTTTCAGGCATGTGCAACTACCAGTAGTAGTGGCTCTCCAAACAGAGCAGCTGGGAAGTGAGGCTTGGCAAAGAAAGATGAGCTAGGTCTAGGAGTGTGTGAGTGTGGGTCTCTTGCCAAGCAATGAGTGGAAGAGACAGCCAGTCACTATGCAAGCAAGTAGGATCTCTGCTAGAAAGGGAAAAAGGAAGCAAAAATGAAAAATGAGCAAGAAAAAAGACAAAAGGAAAGATTTTTCTTTTCAGCAAAGAGAAAGAAGAAAGAATTTGGGCGGTCCCAGGTTGGACTTCCTAGTTCATGATTATCCCGAATATGGTTTTGAAAATAATAGGACATATTAGCCCAGGAACAAAGCCAAATATCGGTGTTCTCGTTAATGAAAAATGCTGGCAGCTAAATGGCAAAGTGACACGGCTCTGTTTTACAGCATTGCCAGAAGCTTAGTTTTGCGGTGGAGAATTTTTGATTTAATAAATGTACATTTAATGGCATAGAAAGATATTCTTCATTTTATCCATTTTCGAATGTATGAAATGACTGCAATATCTTGGGGTAATGAATGAGCCCTCCTACACGACTCATAACTATTAAAATTTGACATCCCTGCCTTAAAAACTAATAGGTTTCTTATTGCATAAGCTTTTGTAAATCACAGTGCGTTTCCTCAGGCACATCTTGTGAGAGGAATGCCATACATTGTATAAACTCAGTTATTTGGGGGAGCGGAGAAGGTTGTGAAAATTAACAATAGTGGCAGTGAAACGCTGAGCAGCTAGTTAATGTATGTAGTGTGAGAAAATTTGGATCTGTTTAATTCCCAACAAATGATATTCCAGCTTCAAATCAATTCCAAGTCTACGGTTTTGCCAACACAAGAGGGGGGAAATGTACTTCAGAAGCAGAGAAATGGGACTTGAGGTTGATTGGAAGGTAAATAGGAAATTAATAGAGAAGGATTTCATTTCTTTCTGCCCTTCAGAAGAAAATGCCTGTCTGTTCTGGTGCCAGAGCAACTAGGCAGTGCAGGTTAATGCTTAGACTCGTAATCTTAATGTATATAATCTTTATATATTTTGACTTCCAGTCACCTGTTCCCCCACGTCTCGAATGACTAGAACCAGTTCTGTGCGTGGTTTTGCATGCTGCCTGCATCCCATGGATGGGGATTTGTTTGTTTGCGCAGCCCAGTTTCTGACATGCCACAGCCTGGTGCCGGTCCACGGCCCGGGATTGGAGATTCCTGGCCTAATGGTTATGGTGCCTGGCTTAGGAACCAGGAGACTGAGTTCTAGTACCTCCTTAGGCTTGAAAGCCAGCTGGATGATTTTGACCAGTCACGCTCTCAGCCCAACCTACTTCCTAAGGTTGTTGTTGTGGGGAAAATAGGAGAGGCAGGAGCATTAGTCATGATTGCCATTATTTACAAATAATAATAAAGGTGGGATTTAAAAAAAAATCAAATAAATAAAACAATAGCAATGGTAATGAAATGAGTTTTCTTCCTCAGCTCCCATTGGGCAGTACTGATGCCAATTATGAGTTATTAGTGAATGGATATTCAAAAGGACAACTGCTGTTTTCTAATCGAACGTCACTGTCATTTGCAAGTAAAAGTTTTTCAGTCTTCATCCAGACTGACAAGACAATGTATAAACCAGGACAAGATGTGAAAATACGGGTTGTTACTCTGCATTCTGACCTCAAACCATACAGTACCCCTGTAAATATATACATTCGGGTAAGCATAGGTTTAAAATTATTTGGCAAAGAAGAGATTTCATGTGGAATATGTGAAAATGACTCTTGTGCATTCACACCAAGGTCTAGCAGCAGGAAGGTGATTTCTTGTAAAAGACACTCAAAATAAATATCTATTTGTATTTTGTACATACTATAGAATATAGATGTTCGCACAGTGGTTCAAATGATATGTTCATCCAAGCTAAATTTATGTTTTAGAATAAAATTGATGTAAATTCAGGGTAAAATTTATTGCTCTTTTGAAAAGAGCTACAGTAAGGGAGTGATAGGCAAGAGACTCTTGAAAAGCATTAGCTTTCATTATTTATATATTTATTTAAAGCACTTACATGCAGTGGTGGGATTCAGCCGGTTCACACCACTTTAGCAGAACTGGTAGCTAATTTTTTGTTGCCCGGGCCAGAATGGACTTCCGGAAGTGGCATCCACACAGAGAACCGGTTGTTCACATATTTGAATCCCACCACTGCTTACATGGCCGCACAACTCAAACAGCAGGACTCTGGGTGACATAAAATAATCATTCTAAAATGTTGAGAATTCCTTAGATGTATTCATGGGTAGAAAATACTTTATCACCAGAAAAAGTGCCTGTACGTTGATATGCGATGTACAGCAAGCCATAATATAGCTATTTGGTTTTGGTGTGTTATGGTTAAACAATCCATTCCTAAATAAGACATGAGAATTTGGTAACTGATGAGATTTTTCTTCAGAAATGAAATCTGCCCCCCCCCCCCCCAAAAAAAAACACAATTGCATTGAGGGTCTATAACAAAAGATGAAATTCATTGTGAGATAATGATAAAGTGAAAGCATTTCTGAAAATTAACTCCTGTTGCTACAGGAACTTCTAATCTTAACATCTGCAACCTTTTTGATTATATAGTAGAATTGATGGCCAAGTTTTCTAGGTGGATATTTACTGCTGAAGCATACTTTGTTGCCATGAACCTATTTTAGCAGTCATGCATTGCACTAAATTCTGTATTCTGAATATATACAGTAGTTTAACATATACTTTTATAAGGATCCTCAGCGAAATTTGATTCAGCAATGGTTGACACAGAACGGAAAACTGGGCAAGATCGTTAAGCAGTTCAAATTATCCAAATATCCTCCCTTGGGTGATTGGTCTATAGAAGTTCAAGTAAATGTGAGTACAAATAAGATATGTTTATATTTAAGGTAGAAGAGGGCAACCTTTTGATGATGAACAGCTTTAATTTAAGGAGGAGTAAAGGCTGCAAAGTGGGTGGGGCTAGATTAAGCTGTAAAGACTCCAGAGTTGACTCAGGATCACAGACCACCTACTTGTGATTTAACAAGTGATGGTACACTTTTCACATTTTTGTGATCTGAATAATTCATTAGATAGTAAATTTAAGGAGCTTGGTTTTTGATTGTTGAAAATGAAAATATCATGAAAAAGTGTCACTTTTTAAAAATTGTATCTCAGCCTGCATTTATTCTTAAGTGGTCAATATAATTTTGAACAAGGTTTTACCTTAGATTTAGTAAACTAAAGGAATTCAATATGATTTTCATTGACTTTTATGTTTGCTTGTGTCTCCATAGGATCAAACCTATTATCAATCATTTGCTGTAGAGGAATATGGTAAGTGATAACCATCTGCTCTTTAAAAACAGGTGCTTATAATTCTTTTAGAAGAAGGTGAATGAAGTTTTAAATTTAGGAAGGCAGTGATTTTCCACAAAACTGAAATCCAGAATATTACTTACCATTCAAAAAAACATGAAATTATAATACTCAGATTGCAAGACTGTTTAGCATAAAGTTTAATAATTTGGATCCTGACAGTAATTCTTAGAGTAAACCAGCTGAAATCACTTGGTGGGACTTACTGTAAATAATCATGATTATCTTCTAGTATGAACAAGATCAGATCTAGCTTTGAGTATCCAGTTGTTTGTAATGTTAAATTTATCTTTTACAGCTTCCAAAACCAAAAGTCATTCTGAGATCTATCCATTCATTCATGTAATGAGGTCTTCCTTGAATAATAAATATATAATAGAGGAGCACTCAAACTTAATCTTTTAGTTGCTTCAGTTTGTCTGTTATGTAATTTTAATTGTTGCTTTTGGGTTTTTTCAGTGTTACCAAAGTTTGAAGTCTCTTTAATAACACCTATGTATTATTCTATGCAAAGTAGGTTGAATGGCACTATTACAGCAAAGTAAGTAAAAAGTAAATATTATGGCATTGAGAGCTATATCTATGTTTCAGATATAAAAAGTATGCAATGCTGGAGTAAATTATTCTACATTAGAATGTTTCTCTTATTTTGGAGGAGGTGGAGTATAAGTAGGTAAAACAGTTCATTATTGTGTGGTGGCAGCAAAAAATATCTCGAATATGCATCAGTACATTGCATATACTTGCCACTGTGTGTGTAAGTGTGTGTGTGTGTGTGTGTGTATAACCTGATGCTTTATTTAAACTAAATTGGTATATGAGTGATTGCATGACCTCTGTAGATGCCATATGCTAAATAAATAATAACTTGCTACTTGATGGAATATGGGCAATAGTATATTGGCTGGCACAGTATCTTATAGGTTAAGATTCTGCCTTGTGCACAATGGCAGGAGCGGACAAATATTCAGATTATTAAATGGTAGAGCTACCTGTACCTACAGATACAATTAGGACTGATAACCTAGTTTATGCATTCTCTATTTTACAACTACAGCTTGATGACTGTAATTGTAATGTAATAGGAGTAAATGTTAAAGAGAATTAATGAACCAGTTAATTAAAAATAGTTCTATATTTGCGAAATTAAGAGGAAGGAGACGGGGAATGATAGATGATATGAATGGATGGCTGAGAAAGATGAGAGAGTATAGGAGATATGACTGACCTATTTGGAGAAGTAACAGTGATGAGTATGATCTGTCTGCTTAATAGGTAGGTAGGAATGTGCAATGAAAAAAAATGATTCGTTTATCACATTTATATAGCTATCTCTAGATAGCTTATAGTAAAAAAATAAAGCCACTCTAGATGGCTTATAGTAAAAACAATTATGCATCAAAACATTAAAACAACACAATTAAAAGACATCAACAATATTAACAAGACAGTAGAGAAAAAATATGTTAAAAATAATCAGCAATATCATTAAAATGCCATCTCCTTGAGACCCCCAGGTCTGCTGTCAGAGCTGGGTTTTAAGAGAATTCTGGAAGGATGTCATAGATGGGAGCCATTCTCACCTCAAGGGGAACAATGATCCACATAGCATGACGGAAAAGGCCCGTTTTCTGGGTTCCTCCAGATGAATCTCTTTTGCAGATGGCACCTGCAGCATATATCTTTTGCTGGACCTAATGGGAAGGGCAGATGTAATTGGGCAGAGGTGGTCCCTCAGATACACCAGCCCAGTGTGATGTGTGTTAGGAAAATAGAGTGAATGATTGCAAGTTAACCATCAATGGTGAAAAATTAGAGCAGGTACATCAAGCTGTGCATCTTTTAAGTTCAAATGCTGGCATTAATGTTTGTCGAAATAAGTAAAAACAGATGTACGTCCTCCTGTACAGATGTGAGGATTGGGCATGACAGGAGAAAAATAAAAGCTGATTGCTGTGAGAATGGCATACTTGAAAAGTGAAGCTGTTTGGTCATACGGAAAGGAAAATATGATAATCAAATTGCAAAACAAATATATAGACAAAGACTGCATGGATTGAAAGGAGGGGGATAAAAAGTTGTGATTGGATGCTGTTGAAAAGATGTTCAAAAGGTGAGAGAGGAAAAAAAAGGAAACCATTGTTTCCAAATTAAACTGTCCAGGATAATAAGTACATGGTAGGTTATCACATGCTTTCAGTCTGCCTTTTGAAACAAACAATTTCCAACTGATCCTTTTTTGTGGTGTTTTGGGTATTCATTTCAGGTACGTATATGGAAAATCAATGAAAGGAAAGGTCACTATTGATTTCTTCTCATTGTTCCAAACACAAAACAAAAAGATAACTAAAATAATGGAGGTGAGCCATATTCAGTTCTTGACAATATACTTACATTTCAGGAAAATTGTGCCCACCCCCGCTCAACATTTTCTAGTGATTTCTCCGGTGGTATTTCTATTTTCCTTACTGTTTTCTGATCCAGAATAGCTTCTTTCTCTTCCTCATACTACTACTTTGAGCCCTTATTAGAACAAATTTAAAAAAAGCTTTTTGCATGTTTTTCTATTTCTTGCTTTTTTGTCTCAGAACTGACCTATATCTAGATGCAGTGGCATTTCAGAGTTTTGGAATTAAGATTGGCTGGAGACCATGTATAATAGCTTAGTGGCAGGAGTTTTAGGAAAAAACTTATGTGAAGGATTAGGGTTAGGATTCTCTTTTCTTTATCTGTTTCAGAAGTATGATATTTTATATTTATTTGCCTTGTAAAATCTGATTTCTTTTAAAACAAGATTTAAATTGTAACTCTGGCTTTGACTTGCTAAACCAAGTGCCTAGCCATTACTGCCATGGTTTATGCAGACCAGTTCAAAATCTAGAAGATTTGAGCCCTCTTAAAACAAGTGTTAAAGGTGATACCACCCTAAAAAGGTCTAATGTCTGTAGTAAATATGGAGATAATCTAAAAACAATCCTCTAATTTTAATTTTGTATCAGCTTTATGACATTTCAGCTGTCATGGCTATTCTTTCCACAAGTATTTTGTAAAACTGTAGCTAAGCCAAGAGAGGGGAATACAATGCTAATAGATCTCTGGGTCTTTTCCTGTCATTTTGATGACCAGGACTTAGGGGACAGTATCAATTGTAAATACGTACAGATGGCCCCTCTCTCTCTGGTCACTTGCAGAGTCCTGGATGCAGGGTCATGAAAGGATAGCAAGGAAAACACCCAATGTCCTAACCCACCCGAGAACATACGATATTTTTAGGGGACATGTTTAGCTACTTCTGCTTTCTCCCTTCTTATCTACAGTGTGCCAGACTTACTGGGTGAAATCTTTATCTTATGTGTGTCAGCTTTGCTGGATGGGTTGCTTATGTAATCAGAAAGAATAAACACAAGGATTTCTTGTCATTTGGGGCTTCTCTCATTAAGAGGAGTCCGTCTTTGTTCAGCTGAATAAAAACGTAAAAGCTTAAAGGTAACTTCTGGTTTCCTGTATTTTTTTTTCAAGCAAAACCTCAGAACCTGCATATCATTTTCCTCAGTTTTAGCAAGGAAGAATAGTGAATAGATACATTGCGGTGTAGATACGTCCCAGTTCATGTAAATTTGTATATGGAAAAAGCATCAAAAATAAAATGTAACAATGATATATGGCTAAGAAGAACAGATCTAGATGTTCTGGCTAATGCAGGGATAGGCAACCTTGGCTCTTTTATGACTCGTGGACTTCAACTCCCAGAATGGAGTTGAAGTCCATGAGTCATAAAAGAGCCAAGGTTGCCTACCCCTGGGCTAGTTTGAAAATCTGATCTAATATTGCTTCAAAGGTAACAGGGTTAATATATTTTTTCTGATCTCAGATTAATGGTTCTTTGAACTTTACACTGGAGAACTCAGAGATAAAAGATATAATTGTCAGAGATGAGGATATATTGCACTCAGCATCTATAGAAATTACAGCTGTTGTTACAGAATCTCTTACAGGTATGTTGTTTAATATGGCTTTTATAGAACACTGGAAGAGATAAAATCAAAGACATACCGTATATACTCGAGTATAAGCCGAGTTTTTCAGCCCATTTTTGGGGCTGAAAAATGCCCCCCTCGGCTTATACTCGAGTCAGCGGCGGCGGTGGCGCGGCGGCGGCGCGGCGGCGGCGGGGGTGAGG